ACGGCTCATACAAGCTAGAGAATCAAGATGGAGTCAAATTGCCTAGAAACTGGAACGTGACTTACCTCAACAGGTATTGCTGCTGATGGATCCTGCCTACGCTGAAAGTATGTGTTGCATTCTTTTTTCCTTCGACCAGGTTTTATCCCAATCGGGTTTTTCTGTCAAGGTTTTCAACGAGGCAAAAACGGAAAGCATATTACGAAGGGAGCATCATCAACAAAGTTAAGACCTTTAAATAACAAGGTAATGAAACAACAAGCCACTATGGGATGGTTTGATAATCTTTGGCCCGATCGCAAAGTTCCTAATGGAAAACAAAGCTTGCCATCGAACCAAAGATTATCCAACCTTTCACAAGTGTTTTTCTCAAAGGAGCAAGACTTCCAGTGTTCCCTTTGCATACTTCGCATTCGAACACTTGGGGGAATAGTACGAGGACACGACAACATTATTGCCACAGAAATCGGGACTACGAGACCCGAGAGCAATAATGTCTCATCGAGATCGGTGACAGCACAGCTAGCCCCGTAGAAACAAGTTGTTCAAGTTAGCCACATGTATTGGCAATTTCTTTTAACGAATGATTATGTACTTTGAAGATAGAAGGATTAAAATGAAGTCCTTTTATTTTTATCTTGTTTCTTGTCCAAACGATGAACTAAATTTATCATTTGAAAGTTAACTGAAAATTTCAAATGCTAGTGCCGGAATGAACAGGAGACATCCTCTTCAAGAACATCATAAACATAAGAGCGCCCTCTTTTATAAGACCCTCATAGTAAAGGGTTGGTTCCCGAAGAATTTATGCTCGGAACCCAAAAGCTATCGGGAGAAAACACACTTGAAGCCTTACTTAATTCGACGCAAAAGAATGAACTTTATGCAATACTTAAACAAAAAGTTCTTTTTATTTATCAAACATGTCACGCGGCACATGTAAAATGATATAAAAGGAAAACAATAAAAGAAAAGAAAGCGAAAAGGCTAAACTTCATCGCTACCGAAACTCGGGGGGAAGAGAGACATCTACGCCCCTAGGAGAAGTAGGCGGATCTGCCGCCAGCACGGGATCTAGGCCTTCATCATCATTCTCTTCAAGTTCCTCCTCGGTTCCCGAAAACTAGGTACCAACACTATAAGAGTCGGTTGTATCAGGTTGAGCTAGGAGACGCTCTCTAGCAGTTAAGTCTAGTGTTTGGGCCTTGGCGATCTCATCATCAATATCAATAATGCCATCTTTGGCCTCTTCTAGGGTTTTCCTCTTCATATGGTACATAGAGTATGTTTTTTCAATTATGAGGGAATCCCTTTGGTGATGAAGTTTTGCCTTAAGCCTGTCGACCTCGCCTAAAGGACATCCTGCCCGGATCTTGTGTCACCGAGGCTAAGATCGAGATCACGGAGCGTAGATGTGCGGACCCGGTTTTTTCTCCATGATCTTCTTATACCTCTCTTCCATCCAGGCCCTTTATCATTAGCAGCAGTAGCCTCTTCAGCTTTGGAGTTCAAAGCTGCCTCCAAACTATTTGCTCGCTCAATGGAGGCAGACTCTCGCTCGGTAGAAGCAAGAGCAGTATCTTGAGACTCAGTCCACTTAGCCTTTGCATCTTGAAGTTGTACATGTAGCTGAGTTGATTATTGATTGTGAGCCATCACCTCCTGCTCACTTTGTTGCAACCGGGCCTCAAGCTCGGCCGCTTCAACAGCCTTAGCCTCTAGCACCGGGAAGCATGCGATAAGTTGATTCCTCTCGGCCAACATTTGATCCCGCTCGGACATAAGTCCCTCTTTTTCAAGTATCAATCTCTAAAGGTCCTTGGAAGTGAGGAAGTTGGCCTGCGAAACAAATATCAAAGTCAAAAACCCTGTTGTAACAGATGAATAGAAACAAGCCATAAGAGAACAACTACGGTACCGTTGTTGTATTGTGCATGGCGTTGTTTAACATACACTCCCCTGAAAGAGAATGTATTTTCTTCTTAGCTTTTTTTGAAGCCAGTGCCTTCAGATAGTTGGCGAGCTCCACCGGCCAAGACAACAGGTGGCACTCCTTTGAAATCGAGAGAGAGACGCTCATCCTCCCTCGAGGATCTACAGAAGGGGGTGAAGAGTTGTGCCCAAATTTCCCATGGTCAGGGGACTGGGGAGGAGGGGCAGCCTCCTGTCGGGCGTCTGTGGACGGTGGAGATGTAGCAGTTGCTGGTGATGAAGGCACAGTTGGCGTGGAGGGAGATGAAGCTGATGGTGTTGTAGGTTGAGAAGCAGCTGCGATAGAGGCTGTGTGTTTATTGGTTGCTCACCAACCAGAGACAGAAGAGGGCCGGTATCCGACCTTATAGGACCAGAAGCAACAAGTGGGACCGGAAAGAGAGAATCAACATTCTCTATTAAATCCATTTCTCCCAAGAGCGCTTGGACCTAGCCCACAGTTGGGGTTCTAAGCTCTCTAGATTGAGCATTTTGTTGAGCTGATAAAGATCATTGTCTCCTTTGGAGGAAAGCCTCTTCATCACTAGCTTCCCCGTCATTGTCAAAAACCACAGTGGATGTGGTTGGCTAGGGCGTGGCCTTCTTTGTTTTCTTATTTTTTTACCCCCGGCCGAAGAAGAACGTTGCCTTTTTGGTTACTTGTTCTCTAGCCGGCGGACTCCGAGAGGAAGCACCTGCACCGAAAGCAGACCCGAGGGCACCGCTCCGAGTGAGAGCCTCCTGTAACAACCTTGTATCCTCTGCAGGATCGGCCAAAACCTCCTTTTCAAGGTAGGAAACAAAACCCTGCGGGAGCCCTGAATCAGACAAAAAGGTATTGTTAGCAAGTTTTCTTATGTACAAAGGCGAAAGATATAAAGAATCAGTTTACCGTGGTTCTTGGCCTTCCACCCGTATTTGGGGGCCAACTTCTTCCACCGATGAGTCTCTGGCGTAGTGATGTCCAGAATCTTTTGAACCCATCGGTCTATGCCTTCAACCCTTGGTGGTATTCACTGAGTAGCTGAAATAACGAAAAGAAAAGGATTAGCAGTGACATGGAACAACCTTTTTCGAAGAAAGAGGCAGATTTTAAACTTACATGAACGGTTCTATGATTTAGGAAAAGATGGAGTTGTGGCTAAGATGATATCCCTTGTAGCAATGAAGACAAACTGCTCAATTCATCCACAGTCATTGTCATCATCCATGCTTGTAAGTAAAGAATGATGGTCACGCTCGCTGAAATATATCACTCTCCCACAGAAAATTTTAATGGAGTGGAGGTTCATCATATGTGCCAGGATTAGAGTCTACCCCGTTTCCAAGCACAGCCGGTGCAGACTAGCTACCGTTCGCCACACAGAAGGGCCTACTTGTGCCAAGCAGAGCTGATACTGGTGACAGAATTCCAAGATCACTTGTTTAAGTCCCCTGCTCAATGAGAATGGGCCCAAAGTGAAGGGGTACATATGTTATACGTAAATACCTTCTTGGTGAAGGTCACCCGCTCCATCAGGTCAGGAGCAATGATATTTAGGACTTGGCAGTTACAATCTTCCTTCATAGTAGGGATAATGGAAGGATGAATAGAAGAAGGATACTTCCCAACAGCCCAAGTTTGAAGGTTTGAGGTGGGAACTTCTCTTGGAAATCGTAGGCGGTGTTCAAATGTTTAGAAATGACGGTGCTCACCGTGGGAGATCAACATCAACATTAACTCCTTTATCTTTGCTTCTCTTCGGGCCTCCACCGAAGAGAAGACCTGAGTTCTTGGAAGATGTAGTATGAGAAGACATAATGATAAGGAGATGATAGAGTTTTTCTGAAGAAGATCAGAGAGAGATGAAAGCAGAAGAAAGTTATGTGCAAAGAAGGTAAGAGAGCTTATGAAGTTGTTAGAAGTGAAAGAAGGAGAATAAGATGTATAAGTAAAGGTATAGACGGCTAAAATCGGGGTCATGATTACCACGAGAACCGGCAAAAATATTGTTGAATTGTGGGCTAACACGTATTCGAGGAATTAAATGCAAGGAGACGTGTGTCTTATCAAGCGTCAGAAAATGTTCAGAAGGGTTCAGAAAATTTTTCCCTAAGAAAGGAATCTTCACCAACTTTCCGATGACACAAAAATGTACCACCGAAAAAGCAAGGGGACTATCTATATATGGTAAAACTGGTTTGTATGGAAGATGGGTCAAAACCGAGGACAACAATTTCGGTTGGTATTGGGTAGATCTCGAAGGGAACACATTCAACGGAAACAAACGAATGTTTGTCACCATATGGCATTGAAGAATATTCCTCAGTATTAAATAGGCAGTCGTTGCAGAGAATTTTGGCATTCATGACTTGCCGTTACATATTCATCATGGCCCCCGTTATTGTCATTTAAGAGGGGCTTGATCCTAAGATTTTGTTTCTTAGGTATAGCTATAAATAGGGACTTCAACAACCATTGTAAGGGATACGAAATCTCTGGCAAAACTTATGCTATACTTTGTTCTCAAGAAAATAATACAACTTTACTTTCTGTCTGATGTTGCTCTTGCTATTGTCCTCGGAAGCATTGCTCCCGGAGCCAAGCTTGCTATTTCCTTTGATTTTAACTCCAAGTCTTACTTTTAATTCAATTTGTTTATCAGTTTTGATCAAATCAATTCGTTATAAACTACATAAAAAAAAAATCAACTGTATTATTTTATGGGTAAACACTCAAATTATACTCTAGTGTATGACTTACTAACTACCCCATTGTTAGTTGGAAATAAATGGAAATATTAGATTAATTTAATGGTTGAAACGTTTGTTTGATCATAGTGGTCTAATGAGCTGCCACGTGTCAATTCCTCCATCACATAGCAAGATGAAGATGAGCTCTCTAATACAGGAAAATTTGCCATCCGAAGCAAATTTAGGACACGAAAAAGAAAACCGAAAGCGAAATAAAATTGAAATAAAAGAAAAAGGTAGGAAAAATTTAAATTTTAAAAGAAAAAAAGAAGAGAAAGGGATAATAAACTTGTGGAGAACTCGTGCTACAACTACCTTCATAGAATTCTCTTCACAATCTTCACCTTCATCCTAGGGCTCAAATTCATTCTCCCAAAAACCATACAAACTATATTATCCACATTCGGAGATTAGTACTTGCTCCTAATTTATTCATTTCCAGTTGTCTTCTGCACATAATCAAAAGAAGAAAGAGTTAATTTAGCAATCCAATGGCGTCGTTGAACTTGTTTAATTTTACTCCAATAGCAACCGCCGAGAGAAGCAGAGTATACACCGCCTCCTTAGCAACCACCGAGCGAAGAAGAGTATACACCGCCGCTACGGCGGCGAAGAGCTCAGGCGGAAACAGTGAGGAGAAGTCGCTGTTGGATTTTATCCTGGGGAGTTTACAGAAGGAAGATCAGCTATTGGAAGTAGATCCAATTTTGAAAAAAGTAGAGGGCAAGAGTGTTGGCACCACTAGCCGCGGTAAGAACTCTGTTGCTGTTCCTCCAAAGAAGAATTCCAATGGCGGCGGCTTCGGCGGATTTGGTGGCCTCTTTGCCAAAAAAGATTAATGAACTCATCAATTAATTATTTCTCTGTAAGTCTGCTCTTTTTTTCTCTTGATTACAACAGTGTCGAGCAAATTGAGATTCGAAAAAACCACTGGAGTTCTGCTTTCTTGTATGAAGCTAATGTCTTTCTGTAATCTATTACTCCTATATAATTGAACATTTCATTTGATATGAGCTTTTCGTGTTGTGTTAGTAGTAATATGCTATGTCCGCTGGCCGCTAGGCAGGGTGTTCATAGTTCTGTTTTTGTCCGTTTTTTCTAAAAAGAAATCAAATCAAGTAAGTCGTTTTTTTTAATATTGAAATCAAACCAAACTAATTAAGTCTGCTTTTTATCGATTCGGTTTTTGTCGGTTTTTTCTGATTTTTCAATTTTTCGGTTATTTATCATTTTTTTCTTAAACACTACCAAACGCATATTCTGGCGACTACATTTTTAACATAATACTATAAAATCAATTGCTCTTTTAGAAATCTATCATTTACCAAGATATATTGTTGTTAATTTAATCAAATAGCGATGAATAATTTAAGTTCTAAATTAAAATCAATAATTTTTAACATGAAATAAATTCTTGTACTTAGCAAAAGAAAACTACCAATCAAACTAGAATGTAAAGGCAAAGAATTAGATTATTATAATAGCAAAGAACTAGACTAAAAATACACATTACTAATTGTACCATAAAATTTTGGATAGTTTATATAAAAATATACATACAAACATATATATATATATATATATATATATATATATATATATATATATATATATATATATATATATATATATAGAGAGAGAGAGAGAGAGAGAGAGAGAGAGGTGTAACGAAAAATTTAAATAGCTACTATTATAGTCGGCTTGGTTCGGGCTTTTTCGGATGTTTTTCGATTAAAACCAAAACCAAATCAAATTTGATCGGTTTTTAAAATTCAAAACAAAAACCAAACCAAACCAAACCTAAATAGTGTCGGTTTTTTTGATCGGTTTGATTCGATTTCGGTTTGGTTCGATTTTCCGGATTTTTATAAATACCCCTACCGCTAGGGAGTAACTAGGACTTGTAGCTCCGCCCCTGCTAGCAGCTCGGTATCCACACTATTAGATTACTCCAAAAAAACAGTAGAAATAATGTGCATATAAGGGTAAACTGATAGCATGGAAAAAAAGGATAAATAATTTGTTAGAATCGCTGGAACTAAATTGATTGTGTCGCTGTATTTACTTGAATCATGCAAACAAAATGTTGAATCTAACATGACAATTAAAAGCTAACTTAAGATGCGAGTGTTATTCAAAATCATAAAAAGTTACAACCGACAATCACATATACTCAAACCAATGAGAAATTCTAATAAAACTGATGAGCAGATTGGAATATCAATTTTAATAGAAAATCGAAGCTGGAAATTGGTACTTCCTCTATTTTATTCAGTACACTAGTGAATTTACTGCGCTTTGCGCGGTCATAAAAGGCATAAATAGTGTTTTTCTAATATCCCATGTTAGATATACATTATTCATTATATATAAATATACTTGATTTCAAAGTACTAATTAATTTTAAACATAAATTTTATATTTTTTATAATTTTTCATCATTCCGGTTTAATTATCTTCTTGAGATAGTCGATTCCTTTTCTAATGACGACAAAACTATACATTTTCTTTTTTCATCTTTTAAATATGTCGAATGTCAAATACTTAAACTCAAACATAATTCTCAAAAAGCAGTCCATAAAATTAAGCTATTGATATTGATGGGTCTCAATACACTCAATCTTGCATGAGCACATGAAAAGTTCTTAAATTATGGGCTCGTTCATAGTATTTATACTTTACCTAAGTATTGTTCTCTTATACTTGAAAATACATACGCTAAACGGTTAGAAAATACAAAAAGGAAGAAGATTAAGAATTATTCAATTCACATTGAAAAGGAGAAGGAAAGGTTCAAGTGAAGCACATAGAATTCCGGCTCATGAAAATAGAAGCCTCTGTGCCTCACCCATGTTGGCTTTGACGAATTGCCTTATGACATTCCGTTTAGAAAGCATCGTTCATTTGTTTTGAAACAGGAAGAGATGGCAAAATTATAAGCCATTGCGAAATTAGAAAAGGAATAACATTAGAAAAGGAGACTAAAGAATAGCCAAAGAAACAAAAGAAAAAACATAAATGTGTTTACTAATTACGAACATAAGAGAAATTGCGAAGTATCTTTCTTCCCATCACTACCATTTAATCAATCAGATAATTATACCGATATTCTCTTCTTCCTACTTTTTTGCAAAATTCCAACATCATCTTCTTTCTCTAATTGTGTGATTCTTCTAACCATTTCAAAATGTCCACCACCCTTTTTCTATAAATTCAGTGAACTGGTGTTTTTTTTATTCTTCACAACACTAAGAACATGTATGTGTAATAAAAAAGGATCAAGAATGTACTAATACCTGAATAAGAAAGGCTAAAGGAAAAAATAAGCACCTGTAGATGAATAAGGCTTCCTGTTGTGCTTGTTAGATATGCTTCTCAAGGAGTTGAATAGTGGTGTAAAAGGAACTGTTTTCCTCGTAATTTTGGAAGTTGTGGTTTCTCCTCCTTCAAAACATCGATCATGGTAATTTTCTGGAATAGTGGCATACTGCTTTAATTGGCTAGACCTTGCCAACTAATCAAAATATATTTTAAAACACACATAATCATTTGTAATGTATCTGTGGTGTCCAGCAATCTAATTGAGAAACTTGAATATATTGATTAATAGTCATCAATTACCGATAGCGTTGTAACGTTCCATTACTAAGGCGTCTTTTCAAGTTGCCACTATCAGTTACCGATAGTGTTGTAACTTGAATACATTGATTAATGGTCGTCAGTTACTGATACATTTATTAATAGTCATCAATTACACATAATAATTTTCAACATACACGAAAATAAATTGGCAAAAAAAGCAGAAAAACAGGGAAAAAGATAAATAGCAATCCTCAACTATGGAGGATGTCGCATCAGCTCTATTATATATATATA